TTTTTTTTTTTTTTTTTTTTTCAAAAATATTTTATTTTGTAATTTTATAATATCTCAATTATGGTTCGTTTAAAATACTTTATATACAATCACATAATGTGAGTATTTCAAATATAAGCATTTGTATGTGTTTAAATCAACAAAACTAATATTGTGATGATAACATCTACATGACATTGTTGCATTTAAATGCAATCATATGAAACATTTGAAAAAGAAAAATTATTATAATTAAATATATTTCAAATATTTTGTTGTATTAGTAATGTACAAGTATTTCAATTTAATAATGAATAATATTTAATTATTTAATTTGATTTGGTAAACATACCATTATTTAATGCATATAATATTTGTTTTTTTTTTAATCTTTAATAATATTGGTCTTTGACAAAATGAATATGTTTGTCAAATATTAAATTAATATATTTTGTGTGCCTTTTAATCACAAAATTTGCAATTTTGTAACATATGTCATGTATAATATATTTTCAATTGATATTTATATAAATGTGATAAAATATGACATAACAATCTTGCGCTATATTTTATAATAATTTAAACATTATTATTTACTATATTGGTGCTCAAAAAAACGTGAGATTTATGAATTTGTTATTGAAAATATGTTATGGACAATATTTTTTGTCCTTTGTTCAGTAATAAAGTAAAAGATATATAATTCATCTTTTAGTTAAAAAAAAAATTCTATCTTTGTATTATAGAACTTTCTATGATAAAATTTCTATGTGTAATATTTGAGTATCATATATGTCACAATATTAAATTATAAAATCATTAAGAAAATGCAAATTACTATCACATAAAAGCTAATCTAAAATCATAAAATTACTGAGAATTAAATGGTAAATATTTACCTATGATAATAAGAAAAATTAATACTTTTTTTATGCTTTATAAAATAGATGTTTCACGAATACTCTACACATGAATAAAAACGTTGCTACATTATACGGAATAAATGTATTAATTGTCACATATAAAGAAATTTTGTTAAAACATAAAATTATTACTCATTAATAGTTATACAGACATACTTCATTATTACGTATTATGTACTTTACTTAAGCTTTTATGAAATACAGTCACTTTTTTGCTATTATTTTTGTAAAATTTATTGCTATCCTTATTTAAAGTTAAAATAAAATAAATAAATAATAAATTTAAAGTAAAATAAAAATATTATATTAATAATTTAATAAAATACTTAAAAATATGACATTTATTTAAATATTTTAGCAAATACAATATATATAGCAAACACTACAATTATTTTCATAGCATATTAAGGAAGAAGTATAAATTTTATGTACATTTTTAAACTTGTTCATTCATATGTTGACAGCTTGAAAATCAAATTTTGTCATGAATGCTTATACATAAAGAATAATAATTTATTGGAAAATTTGTATTATGTTACTTATAAAATCTAATTTTTTAAATTGTTAATATTGTGTTATGTTAATATTATGTCATACCATTTTTTTTACAAGTAGCCACAACTAATCTTGCAATTATTAACCACATAATCAAAGAAATAGAATCCTCATGATAACATGGCCAGCTTAATAAACTTTGTATAGGCCATAGTATGCCTTTTGGTAAAATTATTACAGGTTTATTTGTATATAGATATAGTAAAATCAACATTAATAAACCCTGAAAATATAAATAATATAATTTATTATGAATCATTAAATATGTTAAATTATAATAAAAACAAATAAATATTTATATTAACTTAAATACTTACATTTAATATACGAAAACCATATGTTACAGATATTTGTACCTTCAGTCTGGAAGACAGTCTCTCATTTGCTAAATAATGAATATATTGTTTTATAAGATAAATTTAATAATAAATAATGAAAAGAAATATAAAATAAAATTAAAATTTGATATGATATAATTATAATTTTATTACTTCATATTTCAATCAAATTAAAAAATTTTAATTCTTGATTTTAATTATCATAATAATAAATCATAAAAAATTAAAAAATATGAAATATATCTAATTTATTACTTATAATTCTATCAGTGGTTATATTTATCATTGATTTTTAATTTATAATATCTTCAATATAATATTATTTTACCTTTTTCTTTTAATGTACTTTCTAATTTATTACATTTACGCTGAAGTTTTGCATACTTCGAAAATTCATCTACTATGGATATCCCAATCATTTCTTGTTTTAAATTAATCAAATCATTTCGTAATTCCATATCATGCTTATTTATTGTATATAAACGAGACGTAATCTATAATAAGAATAATAATTTGTAATAAATATAATTAATTATAATAAGAAATATAAAATATCATCAATACTTACATATTTAATTAAAGATGGAAAAATGTATTCTAAAAGACAACTTACAGTTGATATTATAAGTAAATTCATTTTATATTTCCAATAAGATAAATCTCATATTTCTTATTGGATATTAATCAAAATATTAAATACCATTGGAAAATACCTTTCGATTTTTAATAAAAAAGGCTTTGGAGGTTACAACATTATATGACTACTTATGTTAACCTAAACATATGAAAAGATGTGTAATAGATGGACAACTTAATTATACTAAGAATAACTAATTACTAAGTTTTTAAATTTTATTTAGTTGGCATACTAAAATATTTGCGGCATTTTCTTATTGGTTTTGAATAACAAATTTATTTTTTTCTTAAATTCTTAAATCTCGAATAAATGATTTTCTTAACTTTTTTAATTTATTAACTATTATAACTTAGTATAATTATTAAATAAATTTATACACTTTGAAATAACAATTAAATTTATTAAATTTCTATATTTCTATTGAATAATAAATTAATATATTATATAAATATGATTTATCGTTTTGAAGGATTGATATAGAATTCTTAAAAAAATATTTATATTTATTAAATATTTATATTGATAAATTATAAATTATTAATATATATAATTTATTATATTTATTAAATATCATTGAATATATTATAATTAAAATTTTACGCCAAAAATATTAAATAAGTTTATAATAGATTTATAAATATATTTATATTATGTTAAAGAGGATATATAATATTATATTATTGGTATATTATTAAATCTGAATTTACAACAAAAATATAGTATGTCTTATTTCTATATGATTTTTATTTCTTCTATGCTTACAATTCGTGGTGTTTTCATCGGTTTTATGAAAAGTAGAATACACGGTGTGATTAAATATGTTGAACTATTCAGAAATTTTAGATGATACAGAAAGAGATATATCAGAATCTCATTCTAAACTTTTGGATGCTGTATTACAACTTGATAAAGGACAGAGGTTGCATATAATATATAATATCTATTATGTTATTCTTATTTCTTATTTTATAGGATCTTATAACTATTTTATTTTAAATATCTTACTTTTAATAATAGAAAAAAATGTATAATATTTTCAAAAGTAAATATTATTTGTTTCAAAGTAGCAAATATTAATTTCAAGATTATATTTTATAAGATTTAAAGATTATCAATATTTAACAGAAATAGAAATTTAATAGAAATCATTCTGTTATATCACAATTATAAAAATATTTTATATTTTTATAAAATATTTATTTATACAATCTTATAATATAAGATATAACAATTAAAATAAAAAAAATTACAAGAAATGATTCTGTTAATTTTAAAATCTTTATAAAATATATATTTTTAAATTTATCATAGGATAAAAAAAGCAGAGAGAAGTGAACCTACATTAGAAGTATCAGAATTTCATTTAGTAAAAAGTGGAATATCTGATCGAGATACAATTCAAATACATGATTTAGCCAAAACATTAGGAAAAAAAGGTCATCATCTTGAAATTACTAAAAGTTTACAAGATATAAAGAAAAAAATACATGTTTTATCAAAACCATTGGAGAAACCAATAGCTGATAAAGTAAAAATTTTTTTATTATATATTGTATAATTAAAATATTCATATACTATTTTATATAAATTTTATAAGTAATATATTAGAATATAAATGTTTTAAATAGTCTTTATATTGATTAATCTTTAGATTAAAAGAATAGTTGGTTTTAAAAATACAAAACAAGAATTAAAAAAATGGAATGCTGTAATAACAAAGAACAGAACAGCAGAATCACTTCAATTTCCTTTAAATCAATCATCAATGAAATTAGAACCTTCTAAGGAATTTGTTAAAAGATTTAGACTTCAATCAGATTTAGAGAAAGAGCTTGCTGCATTAGAACCAGAAAAAGAAAATATTGAACAAAAAAAAGATAGATTTTCTTTGACATTAAAGGAAATTATTATGAAAAGAAAAGAAGCTGCTAGAATTAGAGCACAACAGGTTTTATGTTAAAAACTTAAAATATTAATAGTTTAGTTATTATTATATATTATATATATTTAATTGTACTTTTTTATAGTCTTATAAAGAAGCAAAAGCTCATCGTCAAAGTAAAATTAAAAGTAAAAAGTTTCATCGTGTTCAAAAAAAAGAAAAAATAAAATTACAATTAAAAGAATTTGAAGAATTAAAAAAAACTAATCCTGAAGCTGCATTGGAAAAACTTGAACAATTGGATAGAATTAGAGCAGAAGAACGAATGTCATTAAAACATAGAAATACAGGAAAGTGGGCTAAATATATGCAAATTAGAGCAAAATATAATAAAGCAGTAAGTATATAAATCTAAATAAATTTCTTAAAATGAAAAGAAATCTTTGTTATGATATTTATTATTATAAGATAAGATATAATAAGATTTTCTTGAGATTTAATGAAATTAATTATAAAAAAAAATTATATAAAATTTGAAAAGAGTTTTGTTATCTTTTTTTTTATATATGATATGATGATTTTTCATTATATGATAAATAGTATTTTAATTGAAATTAATTGAATATATGTATACATACTAAGTGTTTTTATGAATATTATATTGTGAATTAAATTATTGATAATTTTTGAATATTTGTATTGTGAATATTCATCAGATATTCAATCTAATTGTAATCTATTGCATTAATAATTTACTTTTAATATTATTAGACTCGACAAGAACTTGCACAACAATTATCAATTAGTCGAGATCTAACTCAAAAATTAAAAAATCCAAATGATAGTGATGAAGAAGATGAAGGGGATACTTCATCTATACAGTTTTTAGTTAATGATAAAGAAAATCCATGGATGAAACATATCAAAACTGAATCAGAAATTGATGAATTTGTTAAAAGTTATCGAAAATATTGGGATAATCAAAATAATGAATTACAGAAAAAAGATTTAAATATCAATACAAATGACAATAAACAAATGAATAATTCATCCAAAGATAAACAATTTTGTAATGGTATGTTTATAAAAATTATAATAAAAAATATTAATATAAGAAATATAATATATTGTAAGTTTTATTATTAAAATCTGTTTCATAGAGAAAAAAGACAAAAATATTGATACTACTAAAGATTCTTTTAAAGATCAAAATAATGAAAATAAACCAAAAAACTTGAATAAACAGATGATCTCAGTAATAAATGAATCAAATTCCAATTCAAAAGGTATTTAATATATAATAATAAAATTATATTATGTTTGATTAACAAATACAAAATTAATTCTTTTTTTTTTTTTTTTAGTTGATAATAATACATATAATGTGCAATCATTTGAAATTGATAATCACAAGGAAAATTTAACAAAGGTAGAATTTAATGTTGAAAACATAAATGATATAAATAATTCATACAATAAAATTACAGAAAAAGTTATGTTAAATAATGATAAAAGATCTAAGAAAAAAATTGAATTGCTAAAACCACATTTAAATAAAGTTATAGCCACTTCTAGTTGGAATGTAGAATCTATAGAAAATATTACTACAAAAAATGTCAATTCTTTATTATCTAATTCGTTAAATAACGAAAAAATAAATAAAATATTTGATTCCTTGGAAGAAAAAATTCAAGAACAAATTGAATCTAAGCTTCAATGTGTTACTCAGAATTATGACAAAGTTGAAAAAAAAAAAAGAAAATATAAAAATATTGAATTTGAAGAAGATAATTTTGATGGTCTTGAAATTCAAACAAAAAAACAAAAACCAATCTTAGATTTAAGTTTATATGAAACTGTCAATAAAAATAATTTGGAATTGAATACTGAATTAGAAAAATTTAAAAATATAAAATTTGATAATACTTTATCTATAGATAAATCAAATAAGATAGAAATAGATCCAAATAAGTACATGAATATAAAACCTAAACATCTAAATACAGATCTTCCAGTTGATATTACTGGTGGTAATGATGTTTTGGATGATAGTGAAAATGATGAAGAAAGACGTAATATAGTAAGTGAAGCATTTGCAGATGATGACGTTATAGAAGAGTTCAGAAAGGAAAAAGAGGAAGAGGTAAGTAAAAAAATTATTATTATAATTTTTTTCTAAATTATTTTTACAAAATATAATATTAAATTTATATACAGGTGAAAAAATCTCAACCTAAGGATATCGATTTAACATTACCAGGATGGGGTTGTTGGGGTGGAAAAAATATTAAGGTTTCAAGACGTAAAAAAAAACGTTTTATTTTGAGAGTACCAAAAGATTTACCTCGAAAAGATGAAAATAAGGGTGATGTAATAATATTAGAACAAGATAATCCTAAAATAAAAGAGCATCAGATTAATGAATTGCCATATCCATTTACAAGTGTTAAAGATTATGAAGCTAGTGTTAGAATGCCAATTGGAAGAAATTTTGTATCTGAAAATGCTCATAGGAAATTAATTGAGCCTATTATTAAAACACGTATAGGAAAAATTATTGAACCAATGAATGAAAATGTTTTAGTTAAAAAAAGTAATGAAAAAAATCGAAAATTCACTTCTAAGAAAAAAAATATAATAAATAATAAGAAAAAAAATAAAATAAATCTAAATAAAATAAATAAAAAAAAATTATATTGAAATAAATTGAAATAATTATGTATAAATTTTTTAGAAATATTCAAATTTGTTCATATATTATATATGTAATAATAATTTTATATTTTCTCCTTGTTTATCATTTCTGACTAGTTATTTATTGATTATATAAATATTTTATAATTATAATTATATATAATAAATATAATAATTCATTATTACTTAAAAAAATAATGAAATTTATGAAAAAT